TCCAGTCCAATATCTGTCCCTTAAAATAGAATAACCTGTGGAGTAAGAAAAACACAACAAAGACCTTTCATCAACAAAATCAAGCATAACTCTTACACACACACACACACACACACACACACACACACACACAATCTACTAGTGCATTTGGAACTGAAATCCAGTTCTAGATTCAGAGAGCTGTCTTTTTTGAAGACTAAAAAAGTAAACATAGCTAATAATAAAGATATTCAGAAAAGAAGATGAAGGGAGAACAATGCCACAACACATTGTTTGGGAGTTCTAGTGAGGAACCAGAGTTCTTTGCAAATCCTTAATCAAAGACTAATTCTCCTCCTTTGAGGATAGTCATCCTCTTTAACGAAAAGCAAAACCACATAAAAGATACAAATGAAGGGTGATGGAAAAGGATACACATATTTAAAGAGCCAAAACAGACAAATCTCCCCTAGAATGCAAAAAAATGTCAGATATCATAAATTTCATTGCTAACCCTTTCAATTACTCAATACTTACATTTATATTATATATTTTAGAAGGTTTTAGTTCCAAGTGGCAAACTTTACCTGTCACTTTCAATAGACAGGAGAGGTCAGCAAAGAACATTCCCGTTCTTTGGCAAGTGACTCCATCATCATCATCGTCATCATCAATTACATTTGGATAGCCTTTACATTTTCCAAAGCACTTCCACATACATTATTCAATTACATTTTTGAGCAGTTAACTTGCAAAAAATATTATGTCAGGAGTTTATGAAATGTTACACATTAAGCAAAAGTTAAGCAACAGAGGTGAAGGGAAAGATAATAGTGATGTTATTCATTTACCAGATACTGATTGACTCCTCACTAAATGGTCTAGACACTTTGAGATATGAATAAGTCAACAATAAAAATACATAATCCTCATCCTCTGGGCCAAAATAATAGTAATAATTCATAATTCTTAATATTTATGTTGTGCCAATAAACATAAAAACAATAATTGTATTTTTGTTATTAATCCCATATTATCAATGATAAAACCAAGGCTTAGAGCGGTAAAGTAACTTGCCCAAAGTCACATAGGAAGTAAGTAATAGAGCCATTTTCTGACATGTCACCTATAAAGAAAAACAATTAAACTAGCTGTAACCCACCATACATTTTTTAGCACATTAAAAAACACATAGAGCCCTGGCCAGTTTGGCTCAGTTGGTTGGAATGTCGCCCCGTGCACCAAAAGGTGGTGTGTTTGATTCCCAATCAGGGCACATACCCAGTTTTCAGGTTTGATCCCCATGTGCAGGAAGCAATTGATAAATGGTTCTCTCTCACATCAATGTTTCTCTCTCTCTCTCTCTCTCTCTCTCCCTCCCTCCCTCCCTTCCTCTCTCTAAAAATCAATACAAATAAAATTAAATAAAAACAAAAAAACACACATAGTTACCTAGTATCATCCAATGCTTTCACGCATGAATTAGTGATACCTAACTACTTGCCAACTGGAAAGTCTTAACATGGAAACATTTCATTTGCCAGACATGAAGCACTTACAATAAAGAAAAGGGGGAAACAACTTCTCTGCCAGAAGAGAAGACTGCTGTTTTGATCTCTGTTGCATTATTGGTCAGCGAGCTTGTGCTGGAAACTGAAAAGTCAGATCCATTTCATGGCATGATGGAGAAAATGATAAAGTGGTGAATTTTCTCCAAGTCGAGTTTGTTGGATATTAGTAATAATTTGAAGTGGACTAGGGAGCTCTATTTTATTTTGAGGCAATCAGGTTAGGTTATATAAGCTTGTTTTTAAAGTATACTGGGCAGCTTCCTCAGATCAAGATTCTGAAATTGAAGAGTCTAAGAGGCCAAATTCCTTGTACCTACCATCCCATCCATTGAGTGACTCACAAGTTTGTACTTTCTTCCCGATGTGACAAGAAGGAAGTATTTGAAATGGCAAGGACAGGCGGCGGGGGGGCGGCGGGGAGAGGAATTTTTTCATCTCTCATTGCTAAACTGTACTGAGCTCTCTATAATCATAGATTTTTGAGGAAGTAAGGAGATATTTGGTGGAAATTAAATAATTTCAGAAATATACAGAAGCTGAAGACTCTGAATCATTCTTTAAGTTTCCATACCGAAATGCAATACACAAGACATATTTGAATTATCAACCATCTGTCCAACAAATGTGGCTCCATTTCAAAAGAAAATGATTGCACCGAAAATAAATTATATTCCCTAAGAAGATGCAAATATTCCTAAATAAGAAGATAAATTAGAAACAGCACTGTCCTGAAATTTAAATGTCTGGCTATGTGGACAAACTCTGGGAAATATTTGGGACCTTATTTCCCTGCTGAAGTACATTGTCTTCCATGATAGTGCTAAAGTCCAAGTTGAGATTCATGATCAACCTGGAGTTAAATTTTAGACGTGTTGTGACTCAGAATATACTACACAATTCCCAAGAATAATTTAATCCATCATACATTTCTCTAACTTGATCAAACTAAACAACAATTAAATATAAAATTATAACTCTTTAGAGACACTCTTTAAAACTCCTAAAACTATAACATTCTTTAGTATTGACAATGTACCAGGAACTATTCTAAACATTTTACCCTAGTAACCCTTGTAAGCCTCACAACAATCCTATACAGTAGGTGCTGTTTTATTCCCCTCCCCTTCTTTTCCTATAAATGAAAAAAGTGAGGAAACCATTAACAATTTCAAAAATTCATGCAAAATACATATAAATTGTTCTTTTACTCATTCAGCAAATATTTATTAAGGGTCAACTATGTGCCCAGTACTGGGGTATAACAGTGCATGAGACAGCTATAGCCCCTGATCTCATGATGTTTATGATAAAGTGCCAAAGATGAACAAAATAGACCAAAAAAAATGTTTTAAAGGTCTATAAAGAACCATGCATGGAGCTGAAATAGAGAATAAAGGATCTAGGGAATCTCTTCTTTACATATGGTGGTTTGAGAAGGTCTCTCAGAAAATATAATATTTAAGTTAAGGCATAATGAGAAGATGCTAGACATGAAAAAATGGGAGAAAGTTCCTGGGTTAAGACCACAAAGTGAGCACAGTCATCTAAATCATACACACCCGAGCCCGGCTGGAGTGGCACAGTGGTTGAGCGTTGACCTATGAACCAGGAGGTCACGGTTTAATTCCCAGTCAGGACACATGCCGGGGTTGTGGGTTTGATCTCCAGTGGGGGACATGCAGGAGGCAGCTGATCAATGTCTCTCTCTCTTCATTGATGTTTCTATCTCACTCTCATTCTCCCTTCCTCTCTGAAATCAATAAAAATATATATTTTTTAAAAGTCACTTAAATCATACACCACCAAACTACAGTGAAAGGATTGTTTAAAGAGAAGAAGAAAGAAACAATAGGCAAGAAGACACAGCCAACATAATTTCGAAGCCGAAAAGCCAAAAGACAAGTAGCAATTGACTTGGTAGACCAGAGAGAGTTGAATCCCAGGCCAACAGCAAGGAAAGCTGAGAATAAACAGTGTGCATCACAGAATTCTCAAAAAGCATTGAATTAATTGGCAGCACCAGATAGCTCTGAATTAAAGGTGTGGGGCAGGAATGGGAGTTTTAAAAATAGAAGGAGGAGCCGAAACCGGTTTGGCTCAGTGGATAGAGCATCATCCTGTGGACTGGAGGGTCCCAGGTTCGATTCTGGTTAAGGGCTCATGCCTGGGTTGCAGGCTCTCAATAAAAATATTTTTTTAAATAATAATAAAAATAGAAGGAGGGATTGGCCAAAAGTGTTTAAGGAGCAAAATAATCGCTAAATGATCTCCACTACTTCACATCCCTGAAAGAGCTCCTCTCCCAACTCAGTGGATCTGAAGTCTATTGTCTAAAGAGAATAGACACCAGAGAGACTCTGGAATGAAAGAAATCAAAAACATCTGACGACCAGTGAACCTACCTAAACCAATGGGATTTAGTGGGCATGTGGAGTTCGGATACTGAACACAGAGCTGAGCCAGCCTCTGCCCACCCCACCCTACCCTAGCAGACAGACCCTTTCCCCGCAGGCTGGAGACTGGAATCCTCTTTCTCTCTCCTTCCTTCTGTGAACCTAACCAGTCAAAGACGAAAGACCCGAAGACAGTGTAAAAAAAAAAAAAAAAAAAGCTCCCTGATCCCGGTGTGCTCTGCAGACTAGGCCAGGCCTTACTGCTGGGCAGGAAGATGGTGGCACCTGGTGTGGAGCCACAGATCTTGGTACAATACTTGGTGTCCCGAAAGAATCTAGGGCACAAGCACCGTTCTCCTGGCCAGTGGGCGCACCGGTGGCGCAGGCTTGTCACGCAACCACTGCGACCTTGCACATTCACCTTGACCACCCACACACTGTTGCTTAGCTCCGGAAGCAGGGGCGCATGAGCAAGGTGGTCCTTGAGGCCCCAGATGAGATACCCCCCACGCCCCTCCCATGCCCCCGCAAAGGAGCTGGCTGAGACACTGCAAAAGGAGCAGCCAGAGAATGTCACCACTTGCACTGCACACCGTCCCTACCCCAAGGGAGAAATGCATCCGTATTTGAAGAAGTTCCGATTGTTCAAGTGACTGATGTTATGAATTGCTTTGATATATTTGAGTATCAGCTGGATCCAGAAACTGCATGCCATCCAACCCTCAGCATCATGTACTTCTTTCAGTGGCAACTTCCTCTTCCCTTTAAATTATGACAGTTTCTTGAGAGTCAAAGACATGTTCACATTAAAGTTGTCATTAGAAAAAAAGAAGCAGAAGAAAAGTGCAGCTGCTGCAGCCACTACGGGAGGCATCTGTGACAAGATGGAGCTCACTGTCCTGGACCATTATTCTCAGCCAGTGACTGGGCCCCAAATACATCAGGAATGTCATCATCTAGTTCAACCCAGGACCACACAAGTACTTCACCCTGGTACTTGCACCCCACTTGGCCACTACAAGAAGCTAACTGAATACTACAAGAATGGAGAGCTATCCTTCAAATAAGTGAAGACCTTCAACATGGATGAGGATGTGGGTCTTCCTCAGGACCACCCAGAGTTGCCACTCCTTGATGTGGGACAACTTCGTCAAGTACACTGACATCTACCCAGAAAACACCCACATGCTGGATGGGAATGCAGCTGACCTGCAGGCTGAGAGGGACGCCTTTGAAGAGAAGATCAAGGCTGCAGGAGGGACTGAGCTGTTTGTTGGAGGCATCGGCCCTGACAGATACATTGTTTTCAATGAGCCGGGTTCCAGGCTGGTGTCCAGGGCCCATGTGAAGACGCTAGCCATGGACATCATCCTGGACAAAGCTAGATTCTTCTATGGAGATCTCACCAAGGTGCCCACCATAGCCCTGATGGAGGCAAAGCTAGATTCTTCTATGGAGATCTCACCAAGGTGCCCATCATAGCCCTGATGGAGGGCATGCACTCACATAGATGCTACGGAGGTGACCATGATCCTCAGCACAGGTGCTCACAGGGCATTTGCTCTGTACAAAGCCATAGAGGAGGGAGTGAACCATAGGTGCACCATGTCTGCCTTCCCACAGCATCTCTGCACCGTGTTTGTGTATGATGAGGATGCCACCCTGGAGCTTAAAGGGAAGACTGGTCAAGTATTTCAAAGGTTTAATTCTTGTTCATAACAAGTTGGTGGACCCCTTGTACAGTATCAACGGGAAAAAAACCAGAAACGGCAGTCTTCTAAGAAACCACACTGTGACTAGCCTGTGCTACTCCTAGTGTCAAGTACCTCATTGGGACAGGCAGGCTTTCTGGAAATTGTCTTTTTAGAAGGATAGAATTGTAGTTTTTTTTAAAAAAAAAAAAAAGGGAGGGGGGATTCTATTTCTTTAATTCTGTATGATTACCCCAGATAAATAGGTGAACTTACTGTTCTCAGCTGTGGAGCGTGGAGCCTTGTCGTGGAATTTAGCTACAGGAGAAATGACTTCTTTGTAACTTACTCTTAATCAGGAAGAAAAAAAATCACTCCATAAATTTGGTGTCTGCTCCACACAGATTAAGGGTTTTTAGATTTCTGTTCTGCCTGTGACAATGTTCACATGTGCAAACACACTCCTGTCAGGAATTTCTATCCTTATGTGCGGATTCTCAGTTGGGGGGAATAGGGGTTTGCTGTACCGGACAAAACCTCTTTAGAGGGGCTTGAGACCCCCTGAGCAAACCTGCCCCTTATTTGAGAATCACTGTTCCAGACTAAGGAACAAACTCTCAATGTCTGAAATCAGCAAAACGAGGCAGCGTCTCCGTGGTCAATAACAAGTGCCACGGAAAGAAAACTGCCTTTTCTCTCCTCTTCTCTCCTCTCCTCTTCTCTTCTCTTCTCTTCTCTTCTCTTCTCTTCTCTTCTCTTCTCTTCTCTCTCTCTCTCTCTCTCTCTCTCTCTCTCTCTCTTTCACTCTCCCTCCAACCCTCCCTCCTTCTCCTCATTATTTCACTCTGGTTTCCTTTTATCTTTCAGTTTAGTTGGTTCACTAGTATATATGATCCCCCTCTCCCTCTCCCTCTCCCAGTTGACCTTTCCATAAACTCTGAGGAATCCTGGGGGGAGGGCTTGGGAGCCTAGGCTTAAAGAGAAGGCTTTGCTGATAAACTCAGAACCTCAGGGGGCCGAGCAACATGAAACTCCTCTCCCTCAGGGACCCTCCAGCACTGGGAGGAAGGCAGAAGCCCTCTTTTCCACCAGGGTCCTGTGCTTTTGTTCCAAGGCCTCACTGGGACTCCCTCTTTTTACATACTCATTAACAAGTAAAGGCCCACAGTAAAGGCAAGCAGCTCAATTATGAGTTGTCACAATACATAAGGTGAGTGCTAAGACAACATACAAATGCTTCTAAAGTTGCCTTTCCCCACCTAAAATACTCTGCCCTTCTACTCCTCTCAGGTTTATGTGGCGTGCTCTGATGTTTCCAGAACATCAGGAAATAGAACTCTTTTGTCCCTTTATTCTTCACAAGGTGAGTCTATTCTCCACCTTCCTTGTACTCTTCTAAGCCTCCTCCTTCCTGTCTTTGTGCCTGTTTCAAGCTACTGCTGCCTCTATTTCTGGGGAAGATCTTTCAGAGCCAAGCTCTGCCTCTAAAGTACTGTTTTGCCCTAACCAGTTTGGCTCAGTGGCTAGAGCATCGGCCTGCGGACTCAAGGGTCCCAGGTTCGATTCCGGTCAAGGGCATGTACCTTGGTTGCGGGCACATCCCCAGTAGGGAGTGTGCAGGAGGCAGCTGACCAATGTTTCTCTTGTTTCTCTCTCATCAGTGTTTCTCTCTATCCCTCTCCCGTCCTCTCTGTAAAAAATCAATAAAATATATTTTTTTAAAGTGCTGTGTTTGGTACCAGCATATTGTCTTTAGCTTTTATACATGATTGTGCTGCTATTCTGTTTTAAGCTAATAGATCAATGGGCTTGTTTACAATATAATATTTTCTATTAAATTCAATAGTGTAAAAAAATGCAGAAAACAAACAAATAAAGGAATCCTTGAAAATTAAAAATATGATCCTAGGGCCTGACCAGTGTGGCTCAGCAGTTGAGCATCAACCAATGAACCAGGAGGTCATGGTTCAATTCCCAGTCAGGGCACATGCTTGGGTTGTGGGCTAGATCCCCAGTGGGGGGCATACAAGACAGCCAATCTATGATTCTCTCTCATCATTGATGTTTCTATCTCTTTCTCCTGCTCCCTTCCTCTCTGAAAGCAATAGAAATATATTTTTAATATATAAACATATGATCCTAGAAATAAATAATCAATAGAAGGGTTAGAAGATACAGTTAAGAAAATTCCCCACCCCCCAAAGTATAGCAAAAACAAACAAAAGACAAAATAAGAGAGAAATGATCAATCCAGAAGGTCCAATATCAGAATAAAAGCAGTTCCAGAAAAAGGCAATAGAGGACCCAAAAGAGCTAAAATCATTAACAAAACTGTTAAGAAAATTTTAGAATACAAGTAGATTTAAAAAGTCTACCATAAGGAATAAAAGTTGACACATAACAAGGCACATCATTGTAAAATGTCAGAAACTCATGACTTTGAACTTCTCAAAGCAACCCTGGAGCAAGAGAGCAAGGAAGCAATGCCTTAAAAAAACGGGAAAAAATTACTCTCAAAGTAGAAGTCCTTATTTAGGCGAGCTGTATATAAAAATTAAAGACATGCTTAGACTTTCATGGTTTCAAAAACTTTATTTCCCATGCATCCTTTCTCCTAGGAAAGACCCAGCTGTGCATCAGGCATAGGAGGCAATCAGTCAAGATCACAGCGCCATGGTCCAAGAGAGACTATTGAAAGCTGTCGTCACCAAGGGCCCCACATCCAATATGCTGGGTTTTTAACCCGACACAGAATGCCTAGGTGAGTGTGCCCCCATCCTTATTTGTCCGTAAGCCAAAGAAGTTCCTACTCTCCTTCACAGTCTCCTGCAACACCTAAGGATGCTCATTTTACCCCCCAAAGAATTCTTCTTTGACCTACTTCTAAGACCTGGGGGTAGGTCATGTTAAGCTTAAGCAGAAAATACAGAGTAACGCATCCTCAACCATATTTTTGCCACAGGAACAGTACTTGGTTCACACTTCCACATCCACCAAAAGCCCCAACTATGGTGAACCCTGCTTTTCTTGGACTCAGTCCTGGCCTTGATCAATGACAACCCCAGAAGGGGCTCTCAAGGATACTGAATTCAAACTGTGTCTCAGAGACTCCATTTAGCTCATCTTCATGATATGAAGAGAGAATAAATTACGTATACAGTTTCAAAAATAATACTAAATGCACACTCAGGTACCCACCACCAGATAAAAAGACATTTACTGTATCTTATCTGTATCTAGCTCTGCTTTCATCCCCCTCACTCATCATAAAGGTAAATATTCTTTCTGTTTAAGCATTCTTTTACTTTTCTTTAGAGTTTCATCCCCTCAGCATGTATATAAACCAGTAGTGAATATAAACAATGTAGTATTTAATTTCAAAAACTGAAGAGCTCCCAGCCAGTGTTTCTCAGTAGTTAAGCATTGACCTATAACCCAGTAGGTCACAGTTCGATTCCTGGTCAGGGCACATGCCCAAGTTGCAGGCTTGGTCCCCAGTAGGGGGCGTGCAGAAGACAGCAGATCAATGATTCTCTCTCCTTGTTAATGTTTTTATATCTCCTTCCCTCTCCTTTCCTCTCTCTGAAGTCAATAAATTTAAAAAAGAACTGAAGAGCAAGCCCAAACTCAGTGGTGTAAGGAAAACACAATATTGCCATTGATTTCAAGGTTCCCCTATTTACAAATTTTGGTCATCTCCTCTTAGTGGCAACAGAAAAAAGGAAAGGACTAAAGGGGCTGCCATGACTTCATCTTAATACAGACACAAAGAGTGGGTGAATAGTCACAAGCCTGGTTCTAAAGGCTGCAACCATTTATTCAACAAATTAATCTTAACCACCAGAGACAGGGTTTTTTAAAGAGTCTAGTAAATATACTAAAACAGGAGGGATCTGGGAAGAGGGCAACGGCAGCAGCAAAGTGTATTTTTTAAAATATATTTTTATTGATTCCAGAGAGGAAAGGAGAAGGAGGACAAGAAAGAAACATCAATGATGGGAGAGAATCCTTGTTTGGCTGCCTCCTGCAGGCCCCACACTGGGGATCGAGCCTGCAACCCGGTACGCACCCTGAACGGGAACGGAGTCATGACCTCCTGGTTCACAGGTTGACACTCAACCACTGAGCCACACCAGCCGGGCAGCAGCATAGTTTTTAAATCAACCCAAGCCCCTCAACTAAAAACAGACAGAACAATGAGGATGGCAACCCGAAGAAAATATCTACAACAAAATTAGGTGACAAAGTAGCACTGTGTACCAATTATCAGAGGATGGGACAAACTTGTGACAGCTACACATCCATGTGCTATCAGCATCCATGCAGGAAGACACAAAAGGAAGGCCTTTGGGCCTGATGGTCCTCTGGACAGGAGAATTCTCAATTCATCCACAGGTACTCACAGGGAACATCGGGTGACCCAACCTGAAACAGAAGTCAAAGCAGGGAGGGGCTTCTTCAGGTGCTAAGATCTGTAATGAGGGAGCAGGGGCTCAACTCTAAACTCTAACAAACCAGGATACAGCCCCATGCTCAGAAGTAACTGCTGTGAGTAGAATCCTCACTGAACAGTGTAAGGACATTAGATGCAGAGGAGAAAGTCCAAGTAAAAGACAACCAAAGAAAACAGGTCTCAGAAAGAACAAGAGCATATTTTTATCACTTTGTAAAACAAGAAAATAGAAGCCCTAAAGTTATCCTGACCTAACACTCCCTCGTAAAATTAAAGAGAACTTATTTTGCTTTAAAAAATGAGCAACAGAAAATCCCATACGGATTTATCTTAAGAGAAAGAAAATAAGAAGCAGAAACATGTGCACTAAACAGACAAAAACTGTAACCTCAGATTTCAAAAAAGCTATAAGAAAATGATTGAAACTGTTATTAAGCACACTGAATTAGGTGACTAGAGAAGAGAGAATCTGAAAAGGAAAGTGAAAGGACTCTGGAGATAATTACAAATAAAATATTTTTAAAAAAATATTTTTAAAATGAAGACAACCAGTAGAAACAGGAATAAATAGAAACATGGATAGTGCTTAAGTAAAATAACATGGA